GCAAGAAGGACCAACAGAATCAACATAGCCTGACTGCTGTGTTCAAAGCAAACTTGAGAAAAACGAAGTATGCAACCATGTCTTAAATCCACTATAGGCTGAGTACTAGATTACCTTAGATGTGCACTTTATAATGTTATATTGCTCTGTTTTGATTCCATAAAAAGAGCTGTTAAAGCAGCTGTTGGGTGTCAAAATATTTTTTTCACTGTTGTTGATGGACAGTAATATTGTGTGAGAGATCATGTGTGAATAACTGCTCCAAGTGAAAAATGTTCATGTAAAATTGAAAATCGAAACTGTTATTTCAGTAAATATTTGCATTTTGCACATAGAAAACTGATTCATGATTCCATGTTGATGAGAGCATTAAAATGGGGGAAAATAGGACAAAAAAATATAAAAGGAAATTCAGAAATGATAAAAAATGCGTGAGTAATCACGATTAATTTTTAGTGAATTTGAGTTAATTATGACAGTTGCATTTTTAATTAGATTAAATATTTTAATCGTTTGACAGCTCTAAAAAAAAAATATATATATATGAAAGTGGTCTCCCCAGCTCTACTTCTACCCGACTCTTCCAGGCAGGTTCTCCAGCATGTCCGAGGTCATCCCCGGGCTTTCTCCCGGCGGGACATGCCCAGTACAAGTCACCAGGGATGTACCCAGGAGGTATCCTATCCAGATGCGCAAACCACCTCATCTGGCTCCTCTCATTCTGGAGGAGCAGCAGCTCAAGTCCCTCCCAGATGACCGAGTTTCTCACCCTATCTCTCAGGGAGACCTCAGACACCCTGTGGAGGAAACTAATTTCTGTCACTCTTATCCGTGATTTTATTCTTCCAGTCATGACTCACAGTTTGTGACCCTTGGTGAGGGCAGGATCGTTAGATTAACCAGTAAATCGAGAGCTTCATCTTTCGGCTAACTTCCTTCACCACGACAGACCAATACAGGTACAGAGTCCAAAACGAATGGTGATATTGCAGTGTACAGTTTCCTTTTGACGCATAAAATGATGCAGTCCATGAAAACAATAAGAAAAACAATTTATTGTAGCACAATCTGACATTTAAGAAAATGTACATTCATTTTAAATTCACAACATTGATGATGACTGCTGGAGTTTTGGCCAGCTATTTGTTAATTTGCGGTGGAAGTGCAAAACAGCTGGCCAACAGACATTCTCAGAAAGAGGCAGATTCAGATTAAGATTTACAAACCCAATTCCAATGAAGGTGGGACTTGGGTTAAACGTAAATAAAAACAGAATACAATGATTTGCAAATCATTATCAACCTACATTTAATTGAATACACTGCAAAGACAAGATATTTAATGTTCAGTTTGATAACATTTGTTTTTGGAAATAATCGTTAACTTAGAATTTGTGGCTGCAACACATTCCAACAATGAAGGTGAGAAGGTGGCAAAAACGACAGAAATGAATGCTCATCAAACACCTGTTTGGAACATCCCCCAGGTAAACAGGCTAACTGGGAAGAGGTGGGTGCCATGATTGGTATCAAATGAGCTTCCCTGAATTGTCCTTCACAAGCAAAGAAGGAGTGAGGTTCACCTCTTTGTGAACAACTGTGTGAGAAAGTAGTCAAACAGTTTAAAGACAATGTTCCTCAATAGACGATTGCAAAGAATTTCAGAATGTTGTCATCTATGGTTTATAATATTATCAAAAGGTTCAGATAGTCTGCAGAAATCACTGCATGTAAGCGGCAAGGCTGAAAACCATCATTGAATGCTCGTTACCTTAGATCAGGGGTGCCCACACTTTTTGGACCGAAGATCTACTTTTTGATCAACTAACCTCCGGCACGCGCGCACACACGCGCACACGCGCACACACACACACACAAAAAAAAACCTTTTCCAATTTACAGTTGAGTAACATTTTTAAAGTGCTTCCCTGGGCCCTCCTAGATTCCTATTCTTTGCCGGTGCCCTCGGTGAATTGTACACGAAACAAACTCTGAATGAGAATTATGATAAAAGATAGAGCGGAACAGCTCTGATCACAAGCTGCAATTGCAGATTGCTGAGCGCTAACAACTTCCGGTGACGTAATCACGCGGCTCCGTAAATTCAAGAATTACCATATTTTCACACCTATAAGGCGCCATTAAAAGTCGAAAATTTTCTCCAAAGTGGACAGCACGCCTTATAATGCGGAGCGTCTTGTGTATGTGCTGAGTACCAAAACCTGACAGAGAGCCGACACGCTGTTTATATAGAGAAAAGGCGGAAGTGAATGAGGACAGGCATGCGGCGAAGAAGTCCGCCAATGAGTGAAGGGTGGACGTGTAAGTGGATGCTAAAGGCACGCCCCTAGCAGGTACCAGCACCTGTATAAAGTGTGGATATGTGCGTTATTGCAAAACAACTTCGGTTTTGGTTTCTAAGAACCCCCGAAATTACTTCTACAAAGAGACACGCCTACAAAGCTCAGTTCAAGCTTCAAGCCATCGGTTATGCGGAGAAACATGGGAATCGAGCAGCCGCGAGAGAATTTCAAGTCAACGAATCCATGGCTCGCAAATGGAGGAAGCAGGAGAACGAGCTTCGCCAAGTCAAAAAGACGAAGCTGAGTTTCCGTGGACAGAAGGCGAGGTGGCCCGAGTTGGAAGACCAACTGGAGCGGTGGATTGTTGATCAAAGAGCAGCCGGCAGAAGCGTCTCCACAGTCACCATTCGACTGTGTACTCACGTTTGTTCGACTGTGTACTCACGTTTTTTGATTGATCAAAAAACGGGAGTACATTGTAAGCTGGCTAAATAAAATGCAACCGAACTCAGTTTTGCTTCCGTTGCCTTTTTAAAAACGTGTTTTTGGCGTGTATCCGTATGTCTTAGCATGCTACCGTATGCTTCAAGCTAACCTGTTTTTAGCGTGCGTGCACGCAACGCATGCCGTATGTTTTAGCTGGCGTATGTTTTACCACTGTAAAACTGCGCCCAATACTACAGTGCGTTTTGTCTATGTGTAAAATTCCAAAATAGCACCCGTTAGTGAGACTGCGCCCAACAATACGGTGCGCCGAATGGTTGTGAAAATACGGTACCTTCTTTATTTTATTTTTTAAATATATTTTTTTTGTGAAAATGAGACAGATAGGATGATTAGGGTGCAGCGTACATTAACACAAAAAATATATTACTAACATGTACAAAGACACACAAATGTTTTTTTGTTTTTTTTCTCCTCAACACTCCTCGGATCTACTTGGGACCTGTCTTAGATCTACCGGTAGATCAGGATCGACGTAATGGACACCCCGGCCTTAGATCCTTCAGGTGGCACTGCATCAAAAACCGACATCAATATATGAAGGAGATCACCATATGGGCTCGGAAACACTTCAGAAAACTAATATCGGGTAAATACTTCACAAAGTGCCACTTAAAACTCTACTATTATGCAAAGCAAAAGCCATTGATCGACAACACCCAGAAATGCCGCTGGCTTCTCAGGGCCCGAGCTCATCCAATATGGACTGATGCAAAGTAGAAAAGTCTTCTGTTGTCTGACAAGCCCACAAATTTCAAAAGCCAGCATCTGTGATGGGCTGGGGATGTGTTCGTGCCAAAGGCACAATCAACCTAGACATCTGTGAGGTGCCACTCATGCTGAAAGGTACCTACAGGTTTTGGAGATCCATATGCCGGCATCCAAGCAACGTCTATTTCATGGACGCCCCGGCTGATTTCAGCAAGACAATGCCAAACCACCTTCTGCGCCTGTTACAAAAGTGTGGCTTTGTAGTAAAAGACTGTAGGTACTGGACTGCCCTGCCTGCAGTCCACACCTGTCCGCCACTGAAAATGTGTGGCGCATTATGGAATGTAAAATACAACAATGGAGATCCAGGACTGTTGGAACAGCGGAAGCTGTACATAAGGCAGGAAGGGGAAAGAATTCGACCAACAAAGCTTGAACAGTTAGTGTCCTCGCCAACCCTCCTTCGCGGTTTTTCACCTATCACGACAGGGTCCCGGTCCCCATTAAGTGAGGGAAGACTGTATTGTTAAAAGAAAAGATGATATAAGACAGTGGTAAACTTGACTCAGTTCCATCTTTTTTGGAATGTTTTGCAGCCATAACATTCTAAGTTGATGATTATTTGCTACAAACAATCAAGTTTATCCATTTTAAATCGAACTCTCTTGTCTTTGTAATGATTTCAATTCAATATACGTTGCAAATCATTGTATTCTGTATTAATTTATGTTTAACACAACATCCCAACTTTTTTGTAACTGTGTTTGTATTTGAACCAAGTGTTGTAATATATGTGTCATCCATATGAACTGTAAACAAGTTCCTTCCACACAATTTCTAACAGTGGTGAAAAAGATGAATGTAAAATATTCGCGACTAAAAGTCAAATCTGCAATCCTTCAACCCCAGCTCATCGGTATGCACTGTTATCTCTGCAGAGGTGGAGGATAAACCACAACACTGACCCTGAACAGTTGTCTGATGTCATACTTTTGTTTGATATAGGAATGGTTGAATTGTCAAATTGCTCTATTATAGACTTGATGAGGGTTCTTTGGTAATTTTCTTTGGACCTTTTAAGTTTGTTTTGCTGGGTTTGTAAATGGGGAACACTTTGGACACAGTGACAGGCAATGTCTGTGTGTTGTTCTTTTGAGTAGGTGGTGCAATGGCTCGGGGTAACTGGTTGTCTTTCAGTGATGGGATGAGAGATGTCGTTCGATTCTGGTTGGGCTTTTTGCTGTTGGATGTTGACTTCGGGGGAGTCTTCTGTGACTTCTTTGGTAGGCGGGAGAGTCGTGTAACTCCCACCACCTTTAGCTTTACGGGAGCTTCAGATTTTCCTGCCATGTTCCGAGCTTGGCAGCGATATTCACCAGTATCCTTGAACCCTAAATCATCCAGGCTGATTATTGACCAGCGCACACCAACTCGAGGAGATCCCTGCATGGCTAGAACAGTAATTCACTGTCAGCAATCTATGATAAAGCCTACACCTTCTTCCAGCTCAATAACAGTAAACATTGTCAGTTAAAAAAAACAAACTCTTCTTCCATATATAAATAGCTAAGATGAAGCCCTCATGAAATGAATATATAATCAATGTATTGGTGTATGCAGAGGCAGCGTTATAGGCTGGCCAGAGGTAGCCAAGGCCACCTGGTGTCACTTTATGGCCACTTCCCTGGACACCCTGAGGAGAAATGTCGGATTTCTGTGATTATTATGCCATTTTCACATGGATGTGGTATTCTTAGACTCCTTGGTGGTCTGCCATAAGTTTATTTTAATTATAAAATGTCTATTTAAAGAATAAATGTACAATTGATCTGAATGCTACCTCTAAAAAAAGTGTTTTAAGTAAGGAACATTCATGTCTTGCAGTCGACGTCAATCAAAATCATTACTTAAACAACTATAACAAGCAAATAACATGGCCCAGAAGTCATTATTTATCATAAGATTCACAATCATTGTTTCATGAAATAAAATGGAAACATATGCCAATCTTGAATCATAATACAAGCAGGACCAAACCTAAGTAAAAAGCAACATTTAGAATTGTGAAGAATTAGGAGACCTTTGGAACGAATTAGGGCATTTACATGGAAAATGCGTCCCTACATCCAAAATTTTCTAGTTAAGAAATTTCTTCCAGAACCAATTAATTTTGTAAGTAGAGGTACCACTGTACTGCCAAAATTTAGCTTTTAAAAGACTTAATGACTGCATGTAAACATAGTCCATGACTGCACTCTACCAAGCGACTTTCTTCTCATACAGACAACAAAGTCTGGTAAAGTCGTTGGTTAAGATTTTGAAAAATGGTCACTGGAGGGGTTTGCACAAGTTGCTATAGTCACCAATGTTTTCAAAACTGTCTGCGCTTTTTGTAAACTATCTCTTCTATGTTTGCAGATATTTTGTATGTGAAAGCAGCACACTTCAGCTTGCAACAATTGATAACTATTGCATTAAACTATTAAACAGGACATGAATATTTAACCTGAAACAACAAAGTGTAGAGTATATGGAAGGTCAAATACATCTTACAACTTTCCAACTTCCTGGGCAGTTGTTCATTGTCACCAGTGATGTCCTGTCGACAGCAATCTGAGAGAGAACAGAGAAAGAAATTCGCATCACTTTGGACTGGCAGCTCAAAAAATAGAACCACAATTTTTGCCTCGAGATCACTGTCAACTCTTCCAGCCTTACCGGCGTAGTTTGAAGTTTTGACCCATGTCAAAGTTGGTGTGGGGTAGCCAGTAGCTTCACAGCGGAGAATAACATGACTGCCGAGCAGGGATGTGACTCTAGTGGCTGCAGGCTGAATCGAGGGTCTCATACAGTGAGGCAACTCAACTTTGGTCAGCAACATCCCGGACTGACCTAGAGACCTGCTGCATGTAACCAGCTGGTCCATGAGAACCACGGGGCTGCCCAGGGACATTGACAGTGACACCACCAAGGAGATCTGGCAGTCACACATCCATGGGTTGTCATGAAGACCTGGGTATCAGGTACAATGGATTACATTATAGTTTATAGTTTATTACTAATGACTGATGTACAGTATGAAAGAAAGAAAAAATATGCAACTGGTGCCCTTCAGTTAAGCAAAAAAAAAACAAAACAAAACAAAAATCTGCAGTGAAATATGTTGCCCAATGCAAAAGGAAAACTTCATTAGGATCATCACAAAGCTGAAACAAATACAGCTAGAACACCAAGAATCGAAAAGGAGAAACTAAAGTCAAATTGCTTTCTATGAGCTATGACCTAAATCACATGTCAAACTCAAGGCACTGGGGCCAGATCCGGCCCATAATGTCATTTGATGTGGCCCGCGAAAGCAAATCATGTGTGTCAACTTGATAATATCTGTACCGAAATGTCAAATTGTCATGTGTAATAAATAACACTGAGATGTTGCAATAATTTTGTTGCCCAGTTTACACTCACTTGAACAATAATTGAACAATTATAATTGACTTGACTGATTTCATAACTAGTAATCTATTAATTTGTTGTGTACAAGTAATAATTTTGTGGTTTCACTGTCATAACGGCGGCCCTCCGAGGGAGACCTAACTCCAAATTGGCCCGCGACTAAAGTGGGTTTGACACCCCTGCTCTAAATACTATTGAACGTACGTGGAAGGAGTTGAACCTGGCAAAGCCAAAATACTCGTTGATTGATAGGTGTGCAAGTCTCATTTTAGAATCTGATCTTAAGTTAAGCATACTATCACTCTTGTCAAAGCCGGTTTCATTGATTTTTAAAAATTCGTTTTTTTTAAATACAGTATGTAAATATTTTTGAAACAGTGGATTGCAATTGTATTATTTTAGCAGTTATTCAAAACATCAGGACATTTATCAGGGTCCTGCAGAGATTGCTGATGAGATGATAATTTGAATCAGGAGTGTTGGAGGAGGGAAACGTATAAAATATGCAGGATAGTTGCTGTCAAGGACACCTTTGTTCTCCATAATGTTGAGGAGTCTGTGTCGCTTTGTGCAAGCGGGTTCGTTCAATAATACAACTTCTGGAAAGAGTAGAGGTTATTTATTTTGGACTGCCGTCGTGGTCAGAGAGGGAAAGCAACACCACCATGTATACAACTGATGGCTTCCGAAAAACTGCGCATGCTCAGTATTCGCTCTGTGCGCTGTGGACAGGCATCGCTAGTCCAACAGGCAAATACGATTTGCTCATATCATTCCATTTCCCTTTCTCAAAATAAAATCTTTCATTTTTAAAAAATTGGATGAAATTAATTATGGCACTCTGCTTTAACAGCAGCATTAATAGATCAAAACTGTTGCTTTCAATGAACTTCAAGTCACAGCATTTTTTGTAGTTAGCAAATAACCAACTTTGACTTGAATAAACATTGCTCTTTCCCAAATACCCAACAATGAACTATACATTCACATTTCACTTTTTTTTCTTTGTCTGGGGGTGGGGGCAATAGAACAACACATCAAATGTTCTCAATCAGTCTCTGTGGTGGTTTCACCACAAGTCAAGGAACAGTCTCTGTTCCTTGACTTGCTATGAATGGTTCTTTAAGAAGGTCTCGGCAGTTTCTGTGTTGTACAGCACCTATCTCTGAACAGTGTATGACCCTGGTTGGACCTGACACAGAACAGTCCCTTTCTGTGACCATGTCTCTGTTTTGTCTTTGAACCTTACTGGGTCACCAGTGTGTAGTTCAGGTAGGTTCCATGTTCCTCTGTCACAGTAGAACTTCTGTTTTTGTTTCTGTTGTTCTTTGAGCAGCCTCACTTTCTCCACATGTTTTGTTTTGAGTAGGTTTTCCAGGATTGGTAAGTTAGATCTCAGCACACATCCCATGAGGAGCTGGGCCGGGGACATACTGTATTGGGAATTTGACATCTAATGAGGCAAAAACATAAGTAACTGTACGTACCTTTGAATGTGGACCAGTTATTTTGAAGATAAGCAAAGTTGCCTGCTCTTGCACTAGTCTGCACTCTGTGTAGCTGCTGAAAATGTTGATTGTGCTGACCATCACCACCTCCCAACAAAGGAAAATGAGAGCGCAAGACGCGGAGGGGGAGAAGACTCCCTTGACAGATCTGTGAACGGTGTGTCTCCATGTTTTTTTTTTCTCAAATAAATCTCATCATTTTTTGATAAATACTTTCATTCTCTTGGTTTCCCTGGACAAGACAATCCCACACTCGAGCGGTGTTGTGCGATACAACAACAAGCTCCGGTAGAAGTCAGTTCCACTGTCTACTGCCTTGTACATCAGCCGTTTCACAGTCCTGACAGAATTTTCCACCAAACCATTGGACTGTGGAAAATGCGGACTTGACGTTATGTGCTTAAAGTCCCACTCCTTGTCAAAGTTTCAGAACTTGTCAAGAGTAAATTTTGGGCTGTTACCTGAAAAAAATTTGGTTTGCGATTCTGTTCCTAGCGAATATGGCTTTCATACATGTTATCCCTGCTTCTGCTGTTGTGGTGTGCAGTCTGTAGACCTCTGGCTACAGGGAGTAATAGTCTGTGACCATAAGATCATCTTTACCTTCACAATAAGGTCAGCACCCACCTTCTGGTATGGTCTGGCTGGTGCTTGGTGTGGGTGTCGTGGTTCTGCAGGTTGATTTGCTTGATATTTTAAGGCATATTGTGAATTTTTTCTCTTGATTTCTTCTTGGCCATAACATCAGTTGTCATGCTCTTTTCTAGCACTTTTCAATTCCCATATGTCCTTCATGAATCTTTTTGAGCATCTCCTTTCTCAGGCTCTTTGGAATGACAATTTTACCGCCTTTGTAAATTATGTCACCCACCACAGATAACTCAGTCCTGTAGTTCCAATACTCTGCTGTGTCTGGTGAAGAATTTTGTTTCACATTGGGCCATCCATTTCTGATCATTGGTTTTGATTATTTCAGTGTCTCATCCTTGTTTGTCTCCGTCCGTATGAGCTCCATCTTCACATCTGCTACTGGCAATGCACTTGTGATCATGTGTACGTAAGCATTCACATTTTCATCCAGTCTAGTCTTTAAGCGCTCCTTTGGGTCAATAGCTCTGGACAGCGTGTCAGCTATATACATCAGTTTACCGGGTATGCAACCTTCAGTGAGTAGCGTTGCAGCCTGATCATCATTCGTTGTATACGGAGTGTACAGTCATTTAGTGGCTTTTGGAACAATGTAATTAAGGGCTTGTGATCAGTCTCCACACTGATTTCTTGTCCTGACACAAACTGATGGAATCTCTCGCAGGCATACGTGATGCTGAGCAGTTCTTTTTCAATCTGTGCATAACGTGTTTCCGGATCTGTCATAGAACGTGATCCATATGCTCCAGGTTGCCAGTCCTCATGTTTTTGCAGAAGTACTGCACCGAGCCCACTCTGTGATGCATCTGATGATATTTTGAGAGGTTTCTCTGGATCATAGAATTTCAGTACCGGTTCCCCAGTGAGCAACTTCTTGAGTTCAGTCCATGGCTTTTCGTGCTCATGATTCCATTGCCATTCTACATTATACAGGGTGTCCATAAAGTCTCTTTACCATTTCAAAAATGTATTAAAAATGCAATTGATTAGATATTTCATTCAGATTTGTTCAATTGTATTCAGCGTTTATTAAAGTTTTTTTTACCTCTTTTAATACACTTCTACATGGGCACCATTAGTTGCATGAAGCACATCAAGACATTACTCGATTTGTTGCCATGTTCGCTGTAGCATAGCCTCATCAATTGTGGCAATGGCATCAGTTAATCCTTTGTTTTAGGTCAGTAATGTCCCTTAGCTTTGTTCGACACACGATATCTTTAACATAGCCCTATAGAAAGAAGTGCAGGGGAGTGATATCTGGCGTGGCGGCCAAGGAATTGGTCCAATCCTTCCAATCCACCGGTCTGGAAATGTTTGATTGAGGAACCCACGAACATGCAGCCCCCAATGTGGTGGTGCACCATCTTGCTGAAAAATGATGGTTGGTTGAAGGTCATTGAGTTGTGGTGCCACATATTCAGTTAAAAGGTCAAGGTAAACGTTTGCAGAAATTGATGTGTCATTGAAGAAAATGGACCAATTATTCGATTACACATCATCCCACACCACACATTCACCTTTGGGCAGTGTGATAAAAAAAAAAAACCTTTAATAAACACTGAATACAATCGAACAAATCTGACTAAAATATCTAATCAATTGCATTTTTAATAAATTTTTGAAATGGTGAAGAGACTTTATGGACACCCTGTACATTCAGTTAGTTGTCTCAGTGGGGCCATTTTCTCTGACAGGATGGGTATGAATTTTTAAACCACCTCTTTGAGCAGGGTTAAATTTGCTCCGGTTTAAGCTGTTTTCAGGGGCTACACCGGTGTAACTTTGTACATGTGAACGCTCTACGGGGGCAGCCCCGGTGCTGCACCGGAGCAAAAGTTGCCATGTGAACACCCAATTTAGAAATCTGTATCTCTATTAAAACACAACTGATGACCAGCCTTCTCTGAAACCGCACTTGGTCTCTGTGTAGAAGCCACGGTGGTCTGCAGGTGTGCCTGGGGAACTCAGGCAAATTACTTTAATGCACTTTACTTTGGAATCAGCCAATCCTCCATTAAGCATCTCCAGTTGGTCCAGAATGCTGCTGCCCACCTCTTGACACATACTCGTAAGAGGGAGCACATAACTCCTACTCTGGCATCCCTTCACTGGATCCCAATACATTTTAGAGGTCTTTTTAAGGTTCTATTGTTTGTTTTCAAATCTTGAAATGGCCTCACTCCACCTGCCTCTCTGAGTTCCTCTACCCCTAACCACCTGCCCGGTGCCTCAGGTCTGCAGACCAGACATTATTAGAGGGACCAAGAACTAAGCAGAGGCTCAGAGGGGATCGAGCCTTTTCCATTGCTGGTGCCTCTCTTTGGAATGACCTCTCACTGAAAGTTCGGCAAGCCCCCTCGCTGCCCATCTTTAAAACTCTCTGAAAACTAATTTTTATGC